GCTCATTAAGGATATCTCTCTGTGATGAGTGTTATAAATAATTAAATTTATTATGAATTAAATCCGCATAAAATGATTCATAGGTTCATCTTCTTCGTAAAATATAATCTGCGACATATTTCAGTCATTTTTACCTATCAATAGCTAGCAGTTTACACTAGTGTAGCTTACGTATATGAAAAGAAAATTTACGCTTAAAAGTGAAATAAATAAATCAATGAACAAATTAAAGAAATACTTTTCCTCTGAGAATAATATATGGCAACACTTCCTGCCTATGTCCTTTGTAGGGGAACAACGTTCGATTGCTATTAGATGTTAAGTCAGTGTGTATGGAAATGAAGAGTAAAATTTTGATTTTAATATTCAAGCAAAGATTTTTAATCAGCTGAAGGAAAGCTTTATGGAAATTGTTGACTTGCAAGACGGTAAACTGGACTTAGCTACCTACCCCTTCTTCTTCCTCCATTTGTCACTTCAATGTTAAAAGTGTTATAAAAGAAAACACAAATTATAGCGTGGTATAGGGTTATCTATACGAGAGTAACATAAATAAACAAAACGCCTAAGTGAGATTTTTTTTTTTTTTTGCTTTATATTGCTTCAGCAAACACTTTCACTTATGGTCTTCACTCGGTGTATAGTTTATGTCTTTTGTTCTGTGTTTGCGATGCGTTTTAATATTCTTTCGAAATATATAGCGAAATATAATTAGAAAGCACTATCTTCAAATGCAACGTGCGGACGGAACAATGACATTTCTTGACATTTTGTTGTTCGTATGAAAAATCGCGGATTGCGTTCAATGTCCGTACAATAATAGCTTCTCCAACTCAGACTCTCTCTTTGTTTGCGGTGTATGGAAGGAACGCTTCACAATCCCGCAAAGTGAATATAATTTCATATAAGTTTAAGGGATCAGAAAATCAAATCCTTTTTTTTTTTTTTTGTGTTGTTGGTTTAATAATCAGTAACGACGTAAAAAGACAAGTGTGAGCGTAATTCTTGAAACATACCTTCTTGGCATACCTACGCGGGCACTTGAAACTTGAAATGCGCTATATTTTCTAATCAAAATTTGTCCTTTCTTCATGCCGCCACATATACGGGGGCTCTCATGAAAGCAAATCCTATGGCGACAAAGTTTAATTTTGACAAGTAAATTAATTTTGCTAAAGTTAGACTAGGTTAAGGGTTAACTATTCTCCCATGTGAGGGCTTTCATGAAAATTATGCATTTATATAGAAATAAGGTATAATTTGTGGTATTTTATTAAGAAAATGATTGAATGACTGATTGTATTGGACGAAGTAGCGTAGCGTCCAGCTTGCCTGATTATCACATTCATACTTCTTCTTATTAAGAACAGAGTCCCCTTTTTTGGTCGAAAATTGAACTTTTCCAGTTAAACATTTGCCAATCGAGCAAAAATCGATATATTTAAAAAATCGATTTGCAACGACCAGAAGGAAGCTTCAAAAACTCCACAAAGACATATTGAAAAGTCTTCGCAGTTTCGAGCTTCTTATTGTAGCGTGCATATTCCAAATGAGGCTAAAGTGTCATGCGGATCATGTGTCTCCGCTATTTCGTGACAGCTTGCGTGCCGGTCTGCGAGGTGCAAAATGGACAACGCAATTTCCAATGGAAGATGTACATTTAACCAACTCATCAACCAATCGGTCTGATTCACTCCACCGATAAGAGCATGAAAAGAATTTATCTAAACGTAATAGCGAAAGGAATTTGCAATAAACTGTGTGTGAGAATATGTCTTGTTTATAAAATGTAAGCCAAATTTTCGAGAAAAATCATAGATTAATTTTAATTTATTTTAAGTTTTTATGTTTATGTACAAGCACTCTATACCATTCCACTCATTTGTTGGCGTCTAAGCTTCTATTGCCTTAGAAACATGTCCAAAATAGGTAAAGAGTATGTTATTGAAATCTGCAAATCTTTGACACTTTGTCAGATATCAACCTAATAGTAAAGAAATCAGACCCGACTTTGTACCGTACGGCTTAAAAATGATAAAAGAAATAAAAAATGTTGAGCATTTCTTATTTGTATATCCAAAGCAATGTCCTAGAAATGCTTGTGAAAAAAATTCCGCTCAATATTTCTACCTCGTCCGCAATTGCTTTTTCCCTCGAAACCCCAATATTCTTCTCCTTTCTCTATATATATATATATATATATATATATTGATTTTTTAGAGAGAAACAAAAGAAGAAAATCATAAAATATATATATATATATATATATATAATATGTTTTATAAGATATCTCGAGGTCCCGGTCAAAAGGTGGAAAACACCAAATTAAAATTTCATTCATTTCTCGTTAACATTGATCGTCGGGACTAAGGCTCATTACAATGTGCCTCGTCAGATAAACGAAAAGAAAAATATCTCGATCTGTGTTTTTCAAAAAACAAAAAAAAAAATTCGTTTTACTACGATTTGCTTAAAAAGTGTTCACTTCTCCCATATCCCTTGTAGTTCGATTCAAGTCACACGGACACGAGAGGCCCATGTTACTATAAACCAATTGCATAGATACGAACAACAGCGAGGACATGAATGAGAGCGGAAGAGACTTCGAATTGAGATAGGAATGAAATGCGAAATGCGAATGTTTTTTAACTCAAAACTTGAATGCAAAAAATATTGACATTCTTCAAATTTTCAAAAGTTAGGAAATTAAGAAAGCAAAGCAATTTGTACCAATATTAGATTAGATTAGTTTAGTCTTTCATGGTAAAATTTTGATGGAAATTTTTCATTTGTAATGCGGGTCTAATGTATTGCATTAACATTCTTCGCCTTTTTGTACACGTTTATAGGTGCCAAAGATGATGATGGTAACAGTATTAAAAGCGGCTCGACCAATGACATGAGTAGTCTTAGTAAAAAGCAACGTAAAGCGCGCACCGCCTTCACGGATCATCAATTGCAAACGTTGGAGAAATCATTTGAACGGCAAAAATATTTGAGTGTCCAAGAGCGTCAAGAGTTGGCACACAAATTGGATTTGAGCGATTGTCAAGTTAAAACTTGGTATCAGAACAGACGGTGAGTAAATAAATAGCTAAACGAGAATTATTAAGAAAACTGAAAAAGAAAAAACCCTATTAAGAAAATTATATTTATCGTATTTATTGTAGGCGTGTCATTCGTTCGATATTTTAAATGAATTGAGGAAACATCATATTTGTGTCATGTTTTAATTGAATGCATTGTTTTAATAGATTGTCAGCAAATGCAACGTCCTTGGTGAAGAGGGGGGGGGGG